TGGCAATTCGCTTGTAATTATAATATTTCATCCCAAAAGTAGCTGCCGGGCATCAGTCAGTTTTGGGTGTACGACGACGACACGACGATGGCAACGAGGACGACGACGACGACAGGAGGGAGTGCCGAGAGTAACGCAACAATGCAGCCGCAGCATTCGCAACAACGCCAACAATGATGAATTTTTGAACTCGTCTCATATACTACTCGTTTCACAGTGGGGACTAGATTTTGTAACGATTTGTGGCCACCATGTGGGCCGTCAAGGCGGCGATTCAACATAAGCAGTCTCCACTGTATTTCGTCCTCAGCATGTTTATATGTCCGCTTGTAACTCACATATGACCCAGAGCAATTGAAGAGCTGATTACGTACTTGTATTGTTAGTGTAATTCATTTTATTCACTAAGGTTTCATTTAAATCTCGTTTACTAAATGCTTTATTTTAATTTGTCCATTTCATTTGAAATGTGTGCTCAAAAGCTGACGAAACTGTACTGCAACAATAACAAACAATAATACTCAAATGTCTTAATGAGATAGCTCAGTAAGTATGAGCCACCTTTTTAAAGCTGTCGAAAAATAATTTTTGTAAAATTTGCATCTTTACCAAAAATAAATTGCTTGTTTAAAATGTTAACTTTTGGAAATACAAAGATAGGTTTAAAGGAACGTAAAAAGGTATTAATAACTGGATCAATTAAAAGACAGCTGAACAAAATGCATTGCAAAAGACCTTTACCTAAAGGAAATACAAATTGACTAAAAGGATTATTTTTTGATTGTGGGCCTTTGAATAGGCCCGTTGTAATTCTGCCCTTCTTGCTTTGAAATTGCTGGAATTGATACTGCAGTAGTCAGGTTAGCATATTCAATAAAAAAGCAAAAGAAATAAAGGGATGCGTTTTTTGAGGATAAATTAAAAGGAAAACTTTCGAACTGTTGTCTCAAAAATAGGATAATATTTTACCAGATCTAGGCAGGTACCGATAGGCTAATTTTTCAACATTCCCTAGCCTGAACGTAAGGTATGTATATCATCTACTCTTTTCTGAATCCCTGTGTATTCAGGTTAATCCTTATTGCATATTTCTTACTAGAAATATTATAAGTTTAATTCGAGAGAGAGAATCGTAGTAAGTATGGCAGCGTACAGATCGCTGCCAGGCAAAACGGTTACAAATCGTTGACACGTGAAATGCAATTCTATGTTCTGCTGAGCAATCGGCAATATGCCGATTCATTTGTAGCCGTACCAGAAGTTTTCGATGAGCCTGTCACAAAATGGGTATTATGTGCAATCCAATCGTGGCACTTTACAGTTCTGACATGCCAACAAACTAGCCACAGTCGGGCAGGCACACAGACAGACAGGCATGCAGGCATTCAGGCATTCAGGCATTCGGGCCGGTAACCGGCTAGGACGCTTTACTAACAAACACACTCACACTATCTCCCAGAAGGGGGAGGGGAGGCGGGGCAACACCGGGGACGTTTTGTATCGCCGTGATAAATTGAGGTGCTTGCCGGCAGCCAAAATCATATTGAATGCTAAAACAATGCTTTCCACCAATTCCACAACGTTGCCAATTGGTGGCCGCTGCTCATATTACCGCATAGTTTGCGGCGACATTTAATTAAAATTTCTTTCAGTCGATACGACGGCTGCAGCTGGCGTGGGGCTAACTTTTGCACTTTCGCAGTTCTGCATTGCCATTGCACATTATCAGCTTCAATTTAGTGGCTTGAAGATAACTCGCATTCCACTTAATAGGCAAATACTGAAAATTGTGCTTGCCATGGTTGGCATAATGAGGCAACAGTTCCACAGAATGGCCATAAAAGTTCGCTTAATCACCGCATGAGTTGGCCGCATGGCATACTATTATGGCTAGTGTGCGCTCCTGCCTTAGATTATACCCTTCAGAATATATTAACAGTGTATTAATCCTGCATGTCTGTTGCATGTAAAAATTCTTTTTCTAATAAAAACTACGGTGAAATTATTAAAAATATGTTCAAAATATATATGTGAGCCATAGTATAAAAATAGGGGATAAGAAATCTAATCATAAAGTATTATTATAAATGAAGACTAATAAATAGTTTATACTAAACCATTATATCATCCTATGGTCAAAGATTTTTTAGTTAGGCTCTCAAGCTCAGCTCTGGAAAAAGATAAGTTTTCTCTGCAAAAAGGCAAAATAACTATCCTTTGGATAGGCAACAAAATAAGTCGGGAATAGGTAATAGAGGAAGCTGCTACCGACCTGCCATACGCAAGCTGCCAATATCAGGGGAAGTATTCCAAAACCTTTAATTGAGTCAAAATGCAGGCCTCCGCCGCAATTGATTATTCTACTCATGGAAAATTGTTGGCAAACCAAAATACTTGTAAAGGGCGGAAGCAAAATTCGAAACTGTACGTCATTTTAGAAGAAAGTTACTGAAAGAATATGAACATATATATAATTAGTAATAAATTCTGTAACGTAGACGAATTTAAATTTGTGGAAATGCAGGCTTCTCTTTCCACTTGCCTACGATCGAAAACTGCTTGAAAAGTGAAATAAAAACGCCCGCGTGTTAAACAACTTCCACTAAGTTTCTTAACAATGGACCTGACAGACAGTACACAAATTATTATTAGCAGTACGGTAGGATAGGAGTGAATCCACATAGCCGAATCAAAAATATTCTGTAGCCCTTATTGTGGTGATTGCTCTGCCAGGCAATTGCTTCTTTATCAAGCCAACTGTTGTTCGTTTGGCTGGACATATTTTATATGAATGCTTCCAACTATAAATACATACAAATAGACTCGCATATATTGTGCCTCATTTTGTCGCCCATAATTGCTATGTAAATGAAGAGACATACTGTGTAAGCGAGGGGGGAAAGAGACACGGGGGGCGAGTAGGAAATGCTTATACCAATAATATTACTCATACGCCACATAGGTTTTAATTTCCTCTCCCTGGCAGTTCTGGCTTGTGGCTTAATTTTTACAGTTGCCATTGCTGTGTCGTTGCCTGTCATATTTCATTTCTGCTGCAAACGTATGTACGCTCAGCTCGTTAGTTTCTTTAGGGTGCTGCAGCATGTGGAAGGGCTTTTGTTCTTGAATGGGCCGCAAGAGCATGCCGAGTTGCCAACGTCGCATTCAAGTAGTTTTCTTACTGCGCCAGCCATCATCATCGTCGCCGCCATTTTGCTGCATTATGCCGCGAGCGCGCTACTGAAAGGCAACCGGAAGCTATGCCGCAGCGTCGATCCCTTTTCCGTGCGCCATTGTGTGGCATATGATAAGAACTGCACACACACACACACACACATACAAATACATATATACGCACTTTTTTCATAAGTTTATTATATCAAGTATATGTATGTACTTGTATTTCGAAAACATTTCTTCCCCATCTCAGGCGAAGGAGAATTTTTTCCAGCTCGCCAATCTAGCAAAGACATCATTCAAATCAAAATCGATTTTCAACGCTATTTGCACATGACTAAGCACAATGCAATAGAATACAAAATCGTGAGTTAGACACAATTTAATTAACACAACAAACGAATTGTTCACTGAATTTGAAAGCTGCATGCTGGAAACATGAAACTGTCAGTTGCAAGCCAGCCTATTGATTTGGAATGCAAGCAACAGCGTTGGCCGAATAAGTCAGGTAAAATTAATTATCTCTTTGATTGAATGCCACTCTAAGCCAACGACTTCTCAGAAATATATACATTTGTATCTGTATATATATGTATAGACTCCAAGTGCGTGCGATTAAAGCCAACGAAAGCAAAAGAAGCAAATAGAAAATACTGTCAAGTCAAGTTGCAGCTGCAGCTGCTTTGCGTCAAACAGGCTGCGAGCAATATTTTTGCGTCAAATGGCTGGAAGCTGTGCAACAAAACAAAAAAAAAGTGAAGAGAACCACCAGCAGTGGCAGTGGCAAAGAAAAACAACTGCATTTTAGTTGCGGACGGCCAGGCAGGCAGCTCAATTGCTTCGGGCTATATACACAGTACATACGGACATGCCTATGTACAAGTGCCTATATACTACTTGTATGTACAAAACGCTAAAGTAAGTTAAAGGACTACGACTGTACGAAAAAGCGTCGCTGTATGAAAAACGTTGCCCGCAGGGAAAACTCAGGCAGCACAGCCGTTCGTACGCTTCACTTTGCTAATGTTGCCGCAGGGCCTTGCCGCTTTGATGAGCGCGCGAACTAGCGAGGACCAGGATAAGGATGAGGATGTGGCTGGAGATGGATATGGAGCCGAGGTGAGATCGCAGCCAGGCGCTGTTGCTGGGGGAGCACACAAACGCCCTTGAGGTGTGCGCAGGCGTAGCTTAAAAGCTGAAAACTTATTAAACACGAGTACCAACACAACCCAAAAGCCACACAGCGCATTTATACATATGTATTTCAAATTCCACGTGCACTTAAATTATTAGACTAATTAAAATGTTTATATTGCATGCAAAACTACTCTCGAAAAACTATACTGTTTTTAATCAACCATAGCCTGGAAAAATTAGGATTTTGTTCTAAATGGTCACGCGCGCATTTTCTGTCATAAAAACTGATCGATCTCATAATTGCTTTTAAAAACTATAATCTGTTTTTATTTTAAAATAGATTTTACAAACATCGTCGGGAAAAACTCACGTCATTTTATAAAATAAACAACTTTTTTTTAAATTAACTTTCTCTAAACATTGCCCAGTGTTTTAAAATTGCGTTTTAAAGGCCATATTTTGAATTTCAAAACGTCTCGTAGCCTTTTTTCCAGTGCATTTATGTTGATATATACAAAGCTAACTGAAGCATAAGTGTAAATTGCCCAAGGATAGGATTGTTTTGTTTTTAGTCCTAGTTGGCTGCGCAGTAATTTTCAAAATACATGTGTTGCTACCTAAGCAGTCAATGGAAATCAATTCATTTCAATTTTACGATTCAACGCGTTCACAAAATTTTTTTATATGTGCATAAAGTTTTTGAGTTAGAAACGTTTAAAAACGAACAAATATTTTTATTTTTTATATCAGACAAATGGCGCCGCCTTTTCAACACCGAAACCCATAGTAAGTACATTGCACTGTTCCACAATAAAAATCAACAATATATGTACATATGTATATGTATCCAAGACTTCCCATAACTTCCCATATCCTACAAATGAACTAGCAGAATCGTGATCGTCTGTACAGAAGACCGCTTTTAATCTCTGCTCGGCTTATCCTCCAGTAGAAGAACGTTTTTCCCCGATTCCTGTTCGCTTCTTCCAATAGACAATTATGATTGACCTTTCCCCAGACAGATTAGAAGGGGCTGACTTTATCCAGTTTCCTTCTCAAATATAAGGCTTCCTACATACAGCTTGTTTGACCTCTAAATAATGATAAATATATGTGACAGACATAGCTAAACGAAGTATTTTCCACCTTTTTAGCAAAAACAGCAACATAAAAATACTATGATATGGCTAAAAAAATATTCCATCTATACTTCATTTTCTTTCACAGCTGCAATGCAGATCCTAGCGTTATCGAGCTCTACCGAAAGCATTCGTTTGTAGCCGAATCGTATGTATGCCCACGTATCTGAAAGTAACTATTCCGACCATCCATATACTGCCCTCTAGCTTATCAAGCATCTTTCCGTGTGAAGTTAAGGTCACAGAATCTGGTCTGAAGGTCACAAATCCCCATGCAAGTATCGACAACTCACGTCATATAGAGGTGTCCCCAGTACTGCCATCATTAAAAGAGCGCAGTTCCAAGTCATCGATTAAAAATCTTTATGAATTGTCCCAACAATTGGCTGATGACGAAGTCATTGAAATTGAAGTAACAAATGTGGAGCACCCAAAGCCGCTAGAAGTCAAACCCGCATGCATCCACAATAGATCGAAGTCTCGATCAAAGAGCGGCAAACAGAAAGGGAAAAAGCCAAAGGGAAAAACTGCATTTGTACAGACCATCGATAAAAACCTAACTCAAGACGTACTCGCGATTCTTCGCAAACAGGAACCCTACACTGAAATTTTAACAGATGAATATTTACAGCAGCGTATATTGGAAATGGCAAAACAGATTTTGAGCGAGGGAAAGGTGAAAAGCTCCCAGAATGAAATAAAACCTCAGCCCGATGTAATGATGGCGACAGCAAACACAAGAGACGCCAGAGATCCAGATCCGACTGAATCGCCAAAAATTGGGAATCAACAAATGGCAACAGAATCTCGCAACGCAGCTCAAGAAACGATTAATAATAATAATGTATTACATTTGGTGCAGGTTTGTAATTGACCTTCAAAAAATAATAGTTCTCCATGAATTTATATTTGAAATATTATTCTAGAATCGACCGAATCCTAACAAGAATCAGAGCGAAATGTGTATCCAAATTTCGATGGCTGAAGCTTTTCAGGAACTCTGCAAATTGCTTCGCGTAATTTTTTACAAAATAGGTAAGCACCTATAATAGTGATGTACATATATTCCGTAAAATTCTAAAAAAAATGTTCCTTCAATGTTTGGCCATAAGTTTATTTATTTCTAGTTTTAAGGGATAACTATTTTCTTGCATTAGCAACTGTATTTCTAAATTTATGTGCGCTTTTGTAAATTTTGAGGCATTTCTTATTCTGAGTATTCTCATAACTAAAGCTAACCTTAAAATCGATGGATTTTCTACATCGTATAGATGTTAAGCATCTACTTGTTTGTTAATCGATCTCTAATTTGGAACGCACCAAAGTAATTCGACATACATGTTTAGTGTTAACATTTCTCACGTATTTGTTTATGCATATGATATGTTTCTTTTTTATTTTCAGATGACTGGTATTTGTTAAGTTTGCTTCTAGTTGTGGGCGCTGGCTGTTATCTGCTCTATATAATCGGCTACGATGTCAACGCGTATGTGAATGCAGAGCGCCGGTATAGGGCTAAAATGGATTCGTCCGGGTATATATGCAAGTGTTTCTACTTTTTAATGCACATGTTATATGTGCCCATGTTTTGAATTTAAATTGATAAGTTTACTTTGGCGCGAACTCCATTGATTTAAATAATAAAATTTAAGGTTTTAAGTTGTCCAACTAGATAGTCGCCCGCATACGCATGCATGTATATTATTATTGTTGGAGGCTAACTACGGGTACATGCACATGCACAGGACCATAAATATTGTAAAATATTTATAAATGAATATTTTTGGCATAAGTGTTGAAATATACACGCGCTCGAACGCGTCTGCCACGCCGTGGCAATGTGGCGGCTATCCAAATGAAAAACAAACATCGCGCCAAACTGCTGCTTTTGTTGTTTAGCCGGAATAACAAAAACTCGCCGCAACACCAACAATACGAATAGTAATAGTACCAGCAGCCGTAACAATCTAAAACAAATGCAAATTCAGAGTGTTAAAAATAATAAATTATTTCTGTTTTTCTAAATGGTATTAGAAAGCGCATTCATGCATAATTCGAAACGCACAAGTGTTAGAAAAAACATGGCAAAAATTCCTGTGCAGTAACGAACTCGTGTTTGTTTCAAAGTAATTCTCTTTTTATGATACGAGTGCATGCTACAAATAAATCAATTACGAATTTTGAGTTCTTTGTAATGGAAACGTACTTGAAGAGAAAACCGAGTTGCATTTAAAAGATGCATAACAATTCAATTTATGCACAATAAAAAGGCCGTATTTCATTATTCACGGAGCGCATTTCGCAAAACAAAAACATTTACTTAATAATTAATTTTTATAATACAACTTTACTTTTTTTTCGTTCTTTGTAAGTTTTTGAACCCAAAATTAATTTGCATGCATTGGCAGCTGCACAGAAAATTTAATTGCAATTAAATTACACATAGTATAAACAAAATCGCATCTCCAACATAACTTGCTTTACACTGTTTCCCTTCATGTACTGGTTAGAATCATCAGAAAATACCATTAAATAGTTAATTAAAGAATTAACTTAAATGCTTGCGGACGTGGCATTTAGAACATTAGAATACAAAGTCATTCGTTTCCATATGGTCTGATAATTTTCTCAGGAGAAGCTAAAATGTGTTTAAAAGATAGAAATCATATCTGTGTCTCCTGTACTACATTAAATTTATAATTTATATAGAAGAACGTTTTTTAGAAGTCACTAAACTATTGACATCGTTTCACTCTCTAACAATGTAAACGATTAATCGCATAAAGTGAAATGCCATTCTTAAATTAGCACATCATTACATAAAAGTGTAGATGATAATGGGTGACCACATCGTAAACGAAAAGAAAAACTCATTTTATTCAGTTAGCGATTAGGTTATTTTTAAGAAAATCGTCGAAAACATCGATGCAGTCAATTCATTTGTTGTCATGTCGCGAGTCTCAACATTTGGTTGACGCTGATTGTGTGAGAGTCGCATGCCTTTTACGCCAATCAATGTTGCATTTCGATATTTTTGCATATGCCTGGCAAGGCTTTCTATGTATATAAGTGTGCGTGTGGGCCAGTGTTGCCAGCGGTGAAAATAGCAACGGCAATACCAGCAACTGCAATCAAAATTGCAAATACAATAATATGAAAAGCACAATGAAATAAATTGAAATACCCCAAGCCAAATGGGTACGATGTACGAAAACGAATCCGCAAATGCCAACACACACACACACACATATACATGTAGGGGCTCATATGCGCCTATGGCTGACCTCAAGCTATGCACACACATTCCCACACACACGCCTACACCTACAGTCAACATTCAAAATATCCACGGCATATTATAAAAGACGAAATAAAACTCAACCGGCAACAACAACAACAGCCGCAGCAACAACTACAACATCAGCAGACACAACAAAAAAGGTTCTGCTTCTACTTTACTACTCGTTTATTTATCTTTTTTGGGTTGGGGGGCTACGTAATCAGCATTTGTGGCGCTCGAGGTCATCCGCAAAGTCTGCAGGCATCATGTTGCATGCACAGCAACATTCTACGGCAGCAACAACAACTGGCTAGCTGCCGCGTTGGCGAACTGGGAACTGCCCGCACGGCTGGTTGCCTGAATGACGGTCTATCTTCCTGACGCTGCTGCTGCTGCTGCTGCTGCCATCGCTCTTATGGTGCTTTTATTGTTGTTGTTGCTGCTGTTGCTGTTGCTGTTGCCGTGTTGCTCGTGTTGTGCTGGCCGCTGTGCTTAGCCTGAAGCCACATTTCGGGTTGGTTGGAATATTATAATTACAAGCGAAACAGGCCCCAGAGGTGCCTGCAAAAGCATAAACGGCGTTGCCCGTGACAGCGCCAACGACTGCGACGCTGACGCAGACGCAGACGACGATGACTGAGGCTGAGACTGAGGCAGAGACAGACTGAGATACCCCAATGAAGTCGAATGAGCGCCAAAGGTGGCAGCGGCTGACGTTGTGACAGTTTCATTTTGCCTCCGCTGTCTACTAGATGAATACACGAGTCAGTACATACTACATATACATTTATATATGTGTGTTGACATGCGTGTGTAAGCCAGTTGCATGTTATGCCAGCTGCTGTCTATTTGGCAGCAACAGCTGTTGCTACTGCAACACGGCTATCAGCGATCCAGCTGCGCATGGATTGTCAAGTTGAACGAACGATATACTTACATATGTATACTCGTATAATATGCATCAGGATCGCAGCAACCTGGTACTACAGTAATACCTCTAATGTTTGTCTGTTTAAATTGTTAGCTTTATTTTAGTCTTGAGGAAGAATTTCAGGAACAGAGCCTAGTTATTATTCTAAAGCCTTGATTTTAAATTTTAAAAATTGATCCAGCTTACATAATTAGTGGAAGTTGCGCTGATATAAGATTTCCGAAAATAAAAACCCATAGACAGCATGAAACCCTTAGATTCTCTAGATCTAAATTAACATAACTATGTAGTTGTAATTCTAAGAATAAAATAAATAAAAAATTATTATACAATTCAAAATATATAAAAGTGCAGCATAAAGAATAAAATATATTGAACATTCAACTTAAATATAAGGCTGTGCTTCATGACCAATCTGAATAATTGACACTCAGAAAATTCAAAATCAAATCACTACATGAAGAAAACTAATACGTCGCATGCACCAGGGAAGAATTTCTATGCAAAAATAGTATTTTATTTATTGTCAAGTCGAAAAGCTTCAATGTGAAACAATGTGAAACGTAATCCAAGCATTTTCCATTTTAAATATGGTATCAATGAATTTTAAAAAACTTGCATTCTTTTTTATTCTAGATTCTTATTAGAAGAATGATAATTTTGTTAAGGCATAAAAGCTTTTCCTATGGAGCATCTGCGATCAGAAATAAATTGTCCCTTCTTTGGTGATCCTATACCTATGTACTTGTATGTGCATCGTTTGGATATTTGCCTTAGAACGTCTTCGTCATTATTCTAGATCTAAAAGTTGTATTAATATCAATTTACGAACAACATTTTACATTTACATACCTTTCAATATTGCAAAGGCTTTGCTTTTTCACTTGCACTTGAATTTACCATTATTTATTATTTTCCTGAGGATTGATTCATCGGAATTCGAACTATATGAAAACCATTCATTTTATTATTATTATATTATAATTCAAAATAGCCGTTAAATTCAGATTTAATAAAAGCATTCTTATTTTAGTTGTTTTCGCACTTAATATAAATAAGAGCTTCTGCCACATTTAATAGTTTTAATCAAAATACTCTTTTTGCTTGCCAAATCGTCTCTTTAATCATTAAAATGCAATGTGAAACAGGTCAAAATATCTTGAACAGTTAATGACTACATAGACAACTGTATCACTGTACCGAACTGACATTTAAGCCATTGACACAATTTTAAATTGTTTTGTTAAAGCCACTGCAACCCAACAACGTCGTAAGAAACGTTTAGGCCTCACTTCAGTTTTCTACAAATTAAGACTTAAGACAACCAAATGACTTCGGTCTTTTGGCCCACAACCAAAAAGCGAAACAACTCTATCTTCAGTGGGTTTCGTGTGAAAATTATTGAAATACATTTCCTTAAGCCACAAACCCGAAACGATTTAGCTGGCCATATAGCATGGACCTAAGCATCTCTGTCTACCTTTAAGCGGACATTGGCGATTATCTTGTCCACGACTGTGAAATAAATGAGCATCGTACTAAGGATAGCCGCAGGCTGATTCGTCGCATTGTTGCTTTAAAAGAAGATAGCTCTAAAGTTTAAAAGTGTGTGTGAGTGTATGTGTCTGTGTGTGTGTATGTGTGCTGGGCCCAACCAAAAATTTCCCACAATTCCGTTGTATTTGCTTATATGGCCTACATGAGTGTGAGAAGAAGGCTTCATTTCAATTGGTCTCTTGCTCTTACTGATCGAATGCAGCCACACGGCGTATACGCATTATGCGGCTAATGCAATGCAATTAAATAGTTGACTTTTTTTAGCCACGAGCAGAACTTTCGTTTTGTTTCGATTCGCTTTATTTCTTTATGTTTGGCATTGCTGCCTCTCTGTGCCCGCTAGCCACAATTCATATGAAATATGTATACATATTATAAAAGGCAACAGCAATAGGAAATACGCTGAAGGCCATTTATTAGTAAAAATTTTCTTGTTTTCAACCGACAATGCGCGACGCAGCGCGTTGTTCGTGTTGTGTTTACGTTGTAAGCTGTTGCTGCCGCCGCTGCCTTGCCGCTTCTTGCTTGCCTCCTGGCCATGATAATTTAGATGCCATTGCTGTGATAACAAAACACACTCACACACACATAGAAGACTTGCAAACCTGAAGCCAACAGCACGAACAAGTTCGATGTTGTATGCTCCAGCGAGTAGCAACGAGTCTGTTTGAATGTTTGATTCGCCGGCCTTCCGCACCCATGCTCCCAGATGTGGCTTGCTCTTGACTTGATTCGACTTTCGGCTGCAATGTTGCCATGCATTGGCAGTAGTTTGCTGTTTGTTCTACGCTAATAACAAATGGCAAAGTAACTGTGACGTACTGCCAGCCATACAAACATAATAATAACAAGAAAGGAATGCTAAAGTCGAGCAGGCTCAACTCTTAAATACCCTGTACCACC